ACCGGGATCTCGTCACCGTATCCGTTCTAAAAATATTTTTTGAAACTTTACGTATTATGATTGATGATCACAAAACATTAATCAAAAAGCAAGCTTATTTACGCACGTCCTAATCATTTTCTAGAAGCGCGTTGCTGAAAAGCATTGAATTTGTTAAAAGATTGGCTTTTCTTGGTCTTCTTAAACCCCATTAATTGCAAAAGTCTTTTCTTGAAGCATGTAAAAACTTATGAGGTCTTGATCAAGCAAAAAAGCTCTTTGGTCGTAAGAGACAATGAAGACTTTGAATTTTTTTTACTACTACAAAAATGAAAACGTTGAGAACGATAATTCTGCAGGATTTTTACGTTAGACTTATTCAAAACGGGAGCTTGCGCAGCATTGTTACAAAACGCCGCGAAAATTTCGAGAAATGCCAGCGATTCCGCAGCACTTTGACCTGCAAGTACTTCCGCAGATTTTGAATGTGTTGCCTCTCTTATGATGTTGCCTCGCCAACAACTAGAGTGCTTTCCCGAACAGTCATCCATACTGCAGAGGATAGTAAGAGCAAGACTCGCAGAGAATAGAGCGAAGTTCGAATCTCGCTTAGGTGTTCCTTTTGCTGTTGTGGTACGCGCTCTCTAAAAGTTGCGCAGCAGCTCATCTCGGAACTTCCGCGGCACGTTTGAGTAACTTTCGCAGGTGACAAGGCGAAACGTTTCCAAAAGTTCTGCGGATGTTCTGATCTGTCGTCTAAGCATGAATTCCCTCCCACGCAAAACCGAAATACTAAGTTCAAAAATTTTGTTTTATTTAGAGAATTCCCTTACAAGATATTTGTAACTGTTCAGAAGTAGTATCAAAACGAACTAAGTTCATGGGAATGGGCAGGGGAAGGAGAAGGTTAGGCGCATGATTCGAAACCGGCTAGTGCCATTTTTCTCTTAGAAGCGGTAAGTTTTTGATAGCGGTCACTATCAAAAAAATTGATAATAACCACCATCAAAGGTTTTGCCTAACAAACCGAATCTAAGCATTAAAAACTCAAGAAATCATTTTTTTTCTAAATGAAGAAAGAGTTAGTTTTTCTGAGCACAAAATGAAGATTTGCGCGGAAAATCACTCTACAAAAGAACGAGAATGACCTTGTTTTTTACCCTTGCTGCAATCAACCGTTCATTAACTTTCTTGTCTTGTACCCCAAAATCGTGCAGTTTTGCGCTGAATCTGTCGCAATTATTTCATGAGTCCCGCTTGTACTCACAGGCGACTTACATGAATCTCTGGGTTTCACCGCTTGTACAGTGTTTCTCTAAAAAAATCACCCCAAACGGAGATGGTGTTTACGAAAGTCAGGTGAGATCAGCGCGGCACCTGCAATGACGCTCACCTGTCAGGTCACGTTGCATTTCTATAATATGAGAAAATGGTCGCTCGTAAATCTACCTTACGAACCTCAACTGAGGCCAGTGTCAGCTCATATTATTTAAGCAGACGCTTTACTAATCTATGCCCCACAGTAAACGAAAGCAAGTTTACTATAGTTCTCATTTACTCACTATGAAAACAATCGAAATTTGTGTGTTCTGCACGATCGTTTGATAATAAATCTCAAAGGATTGGAAACAAAATGCAATACATTACATCTTGGTGGTTTTTAATTTTGTTCGAAAGTTAAATTCTGAAGTTTAGAACATGGAAATTTCTCTAATATGGATCAATTCTGAGTCGACTGTCGCATGCCAGACAAATTAAGACAGCTTCTGATCGCAGATGGGAAGCTGAGTTTGCGATTTGTTGATTCTTCTTGCATTCGTGGTCTAATAAAAAAGGCTTCCAAGAGTTTTTGATTTTTTCCCATATTATTCATTAATTGGCTTTCCCGGTCCAGCTCGAGGTGTTGTTCACCTGCACTGCGACCTCCCCCCCCCCCCCGTCACCTCTCTCTGTTATGGATGACTTACCCTGGGACATCCGCTTCGAAAAACCGCATCCTCGTGATCCTGAGGTGAAAATGAGCTTCACAGCCCTCCTTTCATGAATACGGGAAAATGCTTGATTAAACATGATAAGCCTTCAGTTCCTTAGAAGAACGCAAACAAATCAATAAATCGATAGAAGGATCCAGCGAATTTTAGTGAATAGTATCCTAAAACCGTCTCCGGGGTCAAGAACATCTGTATGCAAAGTTTTGGCTCAATCGGTTGAGCGGCGTGCGTTTCTATTGCTCACATACCCTCCAAACAGACAATTTTTGCGTTTTATATATACAGAGATTCGATGGCGTCTTACAGCGTGCATATCATTCCATCTCCTCCTAGAAAACTCGAAAACGCTGCGCAATTGTGTTTAACAAATTGAAAATTGCATGTACTCCATTTTGGAAGTTTATCATGCAAAATGAGGGAAGAAAAGATTTCGAGCTTATCAAAAAAGTGTATGCGGCGCTGAAGACTGGTCGAAGAATGGAAAGACTTGGGTGATATCTTCAGTTGAGTCGACTTACTTGATTCACTTCGTTCACTCCATTTGTCTGAGCAGGCATAACACATCGATCTGAATAGAAATTATTTTTGTCCGCTTTAGTAGATATCTAAAAACACAATTCGGATGAAAGCGGTGTGCAGATGCACTTACTTTCAGCAATTGGCTGAGGCAGTACGGAGCTGAAATAGTGCTGTTATTTTAACTTGGCACATAGTTCAATTTCTGGAATGTTAAAAAACTTACACCACAAGAAACAGCAATACCGTAAGCAGCAGAAGTGGATTCATTGCTGCTAGGTACTTTATTCAAACATTTGCCTTTGCTGCGTCTTTTATATCAACACTTCACTTCTGCTGCTCTTTTTGCCATTGGAGTGTTTGCGAAAAACACTGCCGGCTTTGTTGTTTAGAACCACGATCGGTAAGTACATGGGTTTGAATGCTGAGGTACTGCAAAAATGGTACTCAGCAATGTTGAGCAAGGTCAGCAAGGTCATTGTCATAGTGAATAACAACAGCCAAATTGGGTGCTTTTACAGAAACTGCGCGATGTGGACATTAGAAACGGCACATTTAATCGTATAAGAATTATGTTTGAATTTTCAGAAAATGTATGTGTTCTGACGAATTTCATCAAAAGTAGAGCAAAAGTGTGTGCAACATCTGCTAGTATTAGTTTTACCCATCTTTGATTTGGCATGAATATTGCACACCTTCATTGTTTCATAAAGCTTTTGTTTTTCCATCAACCTTGACGTAAAGAGCACAACTGTTGCAGAGCCAAGCTTTTGAGACTCTCTACAATTTCTGCATATTATGGCCCCGTAAGCTAACGCTATTTATTATAAATTCTACAAGTCAAAAACTTGGGTAGAGAGCAACAATTCAAGTGTTACTGCTAGGATTTAGGTTAATCTCAAGGTTTCGTCTGTATTTCAGTCACCAGCACTCGTACAGCCCAGATCCCAGGTGTGGCGTGATACACCGCAGCTTAACCTTAAAAATAAAGCGTTTTTGCAAAGTGATAGAACAGGAGTTTGCAGTCAAAACAGGGTTATAGACGATACCTTTAATCTTCTTGTGGCCGATACGTTTTAGTTTGTCTATTTGCACTTTTGATCTCTCTCGTTTCTATCTATAATACACCTGCATGTTGTTCTATTGATCAGCATTAAACAGAACTCTATTTGAATCACATGCATTTAGCTATCAAACGTTCAGGTGAGTTATCTAGAAATTATGTAATCATGATTGGAAGAAGTCAATGATATTACCTTAGCTAAAAAATAATTCCATTTTGGCATAAAAGTCTTCATAAATACTTTTCTAGTTGTTCTTCACCCATGATTTTTTTGTAGTTAAGTAGTTCAAAGCCTTTTCTATCACATATCATCTACTTAAACTTTTCAGTATTCAGTAAGAAACAGTTATGCCCCAACATGGCTAAAACTTCAGAAGCTCCCTACGACTAAAATTCTACGACTTTCTAGGCTTCGTTTTCATGCTCTAGTGGATTTAGGAAAAAGCCCGCAAAGCCCCTACAATCCCCTGGTATTTGAATACAGACAAGTTTTTTCTACTGAGATTATCAATAAATTGTAAACTGCCATTTCAAATTCTTTGACCGAAAAAAAAACCAGATTTTCTCATGTTTCGCACGAAAAAATTGGGGATTCTCAGTTCTTTGAGGATTTCTTTCATTGCAAAATGAATTTCACTCAAACCGGTTTATGTCCCAATTCTCAATAAAGTACTCTTTCCAAAGATACTGAGGACAGTAGACAAAAAATGTCTGCAGCATCTGCGGGAGTTGCAAAAACCCAAAAGACCATAATTATTTATTAGCCAACCTAATAGTTTCATTATTCCATTACTGCTGAATTTACTCATCTACTGTAGGATTAGGATCTGCTTGTTTGTTTATTTATCTGTGCGATTGTTCTCTCTAGTACTTGGAACTATGCCTTGGCTGTGATACTTGCCTCTCCATGCATTACTGATGTTTATACAAATTTCATGATGCCTGTACTTTGAAAAACAGGTTTGAGCGTAACTCAATTGTGGCAATTGACTTACTCAAGCTTTCCGAATTGTTTCTCTCTTCAGACCCCGGACAGAGTTCACGCGATTTGATCGTCGCGATTCAATCGCCGCAATCTCCATTCATTTTCATTTTACATTCAAAGATTTCGGGTTGGAAAAGTATTACAACCGAAATGCAAGTTGGTCGGCATGCAATAAACTCGTAACAGTTGTCTTGTCGCGATTGAATCTCGAAGATCAAATCGCGTGAACTCTGCCCGAGGCCTTAGATGGGCAGAAGCACAACAAAGAAACTTGTAATTTCAAACATGAAGAATTATTCTTGAATGAGCTCAAAAATAATATTTGATACCATTATTTACTGACGATATATAGATCTCACTTTGTTCCAAATGAACAAGATAACATGTTCTGTGCTATTGTCTACTGAGAGTACCCTAGCAGACTGTGGACTTGTCCGCACCATATTTGACAGCATTCGACGGTGTAATGAAACGTATAGCGAGAGAACTGCAAAACTTCTCTCCTAACCTCCGGACCGGACAAACGCAACAGACAGGTAACTGCAAGTAAATTTCGCGCAATAGTTCTCTTAACTTTTGTTAATTCCACGAATAAACCATATTACCCTAGTCACTGCACATTTATCGAGTTTACGTTCTACTTTCGAGTAAGGATGATTCCACAGAATGCGGTGGCTACATTATTATCTGCTGCCATACTACTAATACTCTGTGCTGATTGCAGGTATCATGTGCAAGCTTTCAAATTTTCACTAGGGGTATTGGGAGAGGGGCGTAATGATTATCTTAACTTGCTATTGCTATATTTATACTACCGTGCCATGAATATGAGTTGAAAGAAGGCAATCTTCTCAATGTGTATTCATCAAGATGGTACTCGGCTGACGTTCGGCTCCCAAGCTTATGGTTTATAATGTTTCTTCAGGCATTTCACATCAACATGCACTACAAATTCCTTCTGTTTTCGTATATTATAACCTACATGAAGTTACTCTCTTCCCCACCCTTTTGATGATTCTATTTTCAAGCTCGTAGGCTAATCCCCAACAAGTCTGGTACTGGAAGCCCCGATTTATCCTAACCAGCCAAACTTTTATATCACAAATTTCTAACTTATCTTATATATAAAGCTGAGTCTGTTTGTCTGTACGTAAGTGCGGAATAGAAATTTTTTCTAACCGATTTGGACCAAACTTGGCACACATATATTTCGGGAAGGGGAGCGTGTCATAGGTTACTTTTTGTTATCGATCGATATCGATTTTATCGATTTTATCAATTTTTTGCAAAGTTTGAGCTACAAGGCTGGGAGTTGAGGGGTAAATGAGCATGGCGATTCGAAATACAGCAATAGTTTTTGGAATTATCGATTACTTTCATCGATTTTACCGATTTTTGCAAAGTTTGAGCTACAGGGCAGGGAGTTGGCACAGGGAGGTAATCGAGCATGCTGATTACGAATACAATATTGGTTTTGGTATTACCTTTTACTTTTATTGATTTTATCAATTTTTTTCGTTTGAACTGAAGAACTGGGAGAGTTAGTACAGGGAGGTAAGTGGGCACGCTGATTTCGAAAACAACACAAGGAACGGGAAAAGAAGTGTAGAAGTGGGCACGCGGAAAGGTTGTACGAGAATAGAGATGGGACTTTTATTACAGTGTTTTGACAGGGCCCAGTGGAGCAGGGTAAGCAAGCTCGTAAATTCTAATATGTGATATGCTGTATGACTTGCGATGTTATCTACATGATGTTATCTACATGATGTTATCTACATGGAGTTTTTAATAAAGCTGAGAAATGCATATGTTTTTCTCAGAATGTTGCAGTCTCGACTGATTCATTTAGTCGCTGTACCCAATTTTTACTTGAAGAACTGACCCAGCAATATAAAGGACAAATAAGAGAGAAGCAGGTGCGAGGGTCGACTTGGTCAAGATCCACGGGAGGATCACATTCGGATATCGCGTGCCACACTCTTTACTCGGCGCACATGTGAGTATCTCGCGTTGTGCAATGTATGCAATGCATATAGACACCCTTTAGAAAATTAGATCGTTTATTTGCAGGCATCCTTTCAGGCGGGTAGCGGGGCACAGGCGGTTCAAGGGCGATTTGAAGTCTGCCATAGCGATGATAAAGGTAGTGGCTATTTCGCAACATTTACAACGGGGCAGTCAAAACACAACAGATCATGATTCCTCCAAAGCATAACTGTTTTTGCCATCTGAAAATAAATAAAGAGTAAAATGAAAGAAAACGAAGGAACTCACACTTACCAGCATAAATTCAGCGCTAACTGCAGACGTGATAATCCTTAGCGGCAGACGATACAGCGACATCAGGGGTACGCAAAAGCTGCAAACCTCGCGACTTTCACGATCAGGCAGAGCCTTCCAGTTATCTTGCAAGGAAATATTGTTCCATAATAATGCATGTATGCTTATGAGCATGAGTGGCACATAACAACAAGATGTTTGTAGCGAAATGTTTTTCACAGCGAGCACACAAATGAGAGTGAACTTACTTCAACTGAGCGTTTGCAGTTTGTCATTTTAATGGCAAGATACAAATTTCTTACCTTTGGTTCAATTGGCTTAGCTTCTGGAAAGCGGGGCTTTCTGGATCTAATTAAGGCCTCTTGCATTTTTGCCGCTGCGGCATTTCTCCCGCGTGCGTGCTCTCTGACCATTACCTAGCCTCAATCTGGTCACAAAGCCTCGCCTTACAGAAGCCAAGCCAGTTGAGTACAAGTTGTCGAAAAGAACCAGTATTTTTAAAGTAGTCAGCTGCATATCAAGAATGAGGGAGAGGCGAGTTGCGAAAACGAGAATAAAATTGTGCATAGATAAGTGAAAGAACATCTGGGATGTCTCTTTTGGTGCACGGGAAAAACCCATTTGTTAGCATATACATAAGGAATGAATCATTTATACATTACCTCATGGCTTGAAGAAATATACATCTAATGGATGTGTTTGTGATGTAGGGTTTGTGACGTACGTACAGCTGATTTGTGTCATATTCATTCATATTTGTTTTAACTTGGTCAGAATATCATCGCTTTTGACTTAGGCGTCAAAATATAAAAAGTGCGTACCGTCTGTAAAACACAGCTCCACACCTAATTTGATGCCTAAAAAATCAGAATTTCTCATTTCTGACCATATTTTTGATTTGCGGCGTCGTTGCCCTAAAGTTGTCATTTTTTGTTCCTAAAGGTATGCTTTGTTGCTGTGTTCTACTTTTTGTCCATTGCAAGATTTTTGATAAGTTTCATTGCTAAAATTGCCTGTTTCGTGTCAACTTCCCTCCTCTTCATCGTGAGCTCCTCTCCATTACTCGTTGCCGCACTTCATGTGACGCGTCAACCGTATGAAGCTTTGGAGCGAAAGCACACATGAATCCTTTTAGTGATATTCCAATGGTGTCTTGCTTATTGTGGATAAGAATTTGTTCCAAATATAGTCATCCTCATTTCACTAGTCGCTCGGTGTTCGCATTATGTTTGATATTACGCTGTTTGTGCGCAACCGTGTGAATGCAATATGTCTGGCATTCAACCGTATTCTCGCATGAGACATTAGGGAACAGCCATAGAATGCCGGCACTCTTTCCGAGGTTGCCTAGGTTGCCACGGTTGCCGGTCGTTGTAGTAACTCATGATAGCCTCAACATTTCGCGCACTCTCTAAGCTGTCCCTAACCTCGTTAACGCCGGCAACATCGGCAACCTTGGACACAGCTGCCGCCAATCTATGCCCGCTCCCTTAGTTGTTCATTGCTATTCAAAATGTCCTTACTTATCTTTCCTTGATTTACTGCAATGTTTGAAAGAAGTTTTGAAACAGAAAAATTCAATCAATTTTTTGTACATGCGGACTGCAACGGAACAAGAACATTGCAGTTGGATCTACGACACAGTCGAATGTTTATTTTATTCCTTACCCGTAATTCGTTTTCGAATAACTTGCGAAGCAATTTTTTTTACAGGAGTGTGATTGCAAATATTTTACCTCTTTTGCAGGATGCCGCATGCTGTAAGCATGTCTATGCATGCTTCTTCGCCGAACGCTGACTCATATGCTTAGAGCATGAGGACGACGGTCAAGCAATGCTCTCGAGAAGATTCTGCTATGCCGAGTCATCGAGTGGAGCTCATGACTTCTCTTCTCTAAACCACTTCAACCGCCGCCGTACCACCAGTGTCTACATTGATCTCTACTTCATGACCTACTTACTTGTTGTGCATGTTGTTCATATGTTGATGTTGCTCGTGTACTTTTGGTGCTGCTTATCTCATTGGTGCTATAACAGATAAAATATATTAGCACGGAACGGTGTTCATACTAGTTTGCCATCCGTTTTCGCCGCCACGCTTGCTAAGCTAAAAAGCCAAAACTGATCGGGGCATATCCTTTTCCGGTATCGAAAACAGAAAGCTGTTCACACTTTACCTTGAAAATAAAGATAGTTATCATAAGAAATTCAAAGGCGGTAAGCGCAGACGAAGTAAATAAGTATAATAGTAAACTATTACTAGGCAGTAAACAAGAAGAAGTCAGCGACAAAAGCTGCTTGCCGAGTGGAGCAGAGAACTTACTAATTTAGAGTTTGCTTTTCGAAGCAAGGGAAGCATACGTGCTCAAAAAATTGCCACCTTATCTGCTTAGATCCTCTTGCAGACGCGCTGGCAGAGAAACACCACGTGGCCGGCATTCCAAAAATAAGTGATTAGCTTTTGCATTCTCCTTTTTCCAGCTAAGTAAACCCTTTTCAGATGATGCGTCCGGAGACGAGGACGTCACGATGGACGATACCGAGCAGTCATTGCTAGACGACGAGATGTAAGATTACATTTGCAATATTAGTTTCAAATAGTATTCCATATGCCCTGACTTCGCCTATCATTTACTGTTGTAACTATTTCAGTAATCAAGCAGACAAGGACGCCGATGGCGCTGATGCCGCAGATATACCCGCACCTTTCAAGAATGCCAACGGCTATCTCAAGAAGTAGCTGCAATATTGTCCCTAGGAGTACACTTATAGATCTTTTCAGTGCTGCGCGTGAAGCATTGTCGCTGTTCTCTGATAAGAGAACGCAACTCTATGAAGAAGAGATCAAGCTCGCTAGGCTCAAGTAAAAAAAAAAACTACAACTACAACAACAACTCGAGATTCAAGTAGCGGAACTAAAGAAGGAGGAAGCGAGAATATTAGTTGATTCTGCGAGGGCGCGATACAATGCAACGGCCCCCACATCGCCTCACTCATAACGTCCGTCTACTGCCAGTTCTCCTACTTCTAAGTATAAGCAGTACTACAGCTTTTGAATTCTCGATGTGTCTGGAGGCAAATCACTACGAATCACTAGGAAGAATTTTGTTTGAGATCATCTCGTGCCATTTCGTCTGTTGAGGCTGACATCTTACATTATAGTGTGTACATGAACTTAATACGAAAAAGTTTATTGTACAATATTTTCATAGAATGTAGAAAAAAATGATCACTGGCACTGCTAATGGGAGTAATGAGGTGATAAGAATGACTTAAACGAGATGCATAAACTTCTCACAAAACCAAAAACGGCAATATCGATTATGTAAAGTACTTGTCGACAACGAAACGGCGCATGCTATCGCCTTCCCCTATGTCCGGTAAATCGGGGTCTTCACTGCCTGCATCGGGGTACTGTTGAGCGATGGCTTCATCCTCAGTGAAGCTACGCTCGCGTGTTTGTATGCAATAAAACCCCAAAGCATGCAGCCACAATGATCTTCGCACTTCTTGCAGGACTGTGCCTGTAGGATTTAGTCGTTAAGTATATAGTAGTATAGTAAGTATACGCGATGAAGATGTTAGGTACGTAAGTTCTGTGTGCAGTGCTTGAAACTGTCTTTTGAGTGATCCAAATGCATTTTCGATCACACCCCGCCCGCGGCAGAGATCGTCGGTGTAGCGTGTTCCTAGAAACAAAAATTCGAGAAAGATCTTGTGCATGCGAATATGAACCTGCAGCTGTCCTATTTTCCCTTGAAATCGGTTTCAAAAGGAATCTTTCGGATCTTACGTGCTGTCGGCCAGCTAAATTCCAGTTTTTGTTCTGTCTGCAGCGATCTGTACAGATCACTGCTGCGAAAAACCTCAAAAATTGTTTTTCTCCCATAGATGAAATTGCATATTCTATCTCATTCTAGAGTCATGTGCTCTGCCTTGGAGCATAGCGCTCACCCACAAAAAGCGCTGCTCTAGGTCGCATATTGCTCCCATGTTTATGCTGTGGAAGTCCTTTCTAAACATTTTTTTGGTGCGTAAGCGCGATTTTTCGTATGTAACTTTGCTACCTATTCACGTAGCTGTCTTCGGAAACACTCGGTGCGATGAATCTTTGAGTGGGATCCGTCCAGCGCTCCGGCAACATTTGGAATTCTGCATAATTCGATAAACCTACACAACGGCATTTATCCAAGGAAGAATGCAATCTTCTAGCCTTCTCTGGATATGTTGCTGCTCATTCTGCTCTGGCCATTTGATGAATTCCTTCCGCCTTCTATAAAACAAGTCGGAAACTTGCGCTACTATGCAAGATACTGTTGACTGGGAGCAGCCGAGAGTTATGGCAGATCCTCCGAACTTTATATGTACTTTTATGCACAACTAGGGCCGCATTACCTAAAAACTGGGACTCCCTACATGTTTTAACAAGATTGCCAGCTTGTGGGCGCTACTGATCGAACGCGTTCTAGCAGTGGCAGGGAGCAAGTCGTCCTGCACCAAAGCCAACAATCAATGGAACCCTTCGCAACTCAGACGAAAGCGCTCCCGGAAGCGGTCATCATTTAGGATCTCCAAAGATCTACCGGCTGGCGAAAATCGCGCCTTGAGACTACTTCAATGAGATATTCAATGGTCTCCCTTCTAGCACTATCCATTATCTGAAATTTTTGCTATGCTCCTTATGGGATAAGAGTACTGACAAAGATGTGAATGTATGGAATTGTGTCATAAGTGCGCATCAAACAAGACGACAGCCGCAGCTAACAATAAGAAGACAGTGATAAGTTTATTGCGCAATGCAAACAATCATGTAAAGTTGTAAGAGGAGGTGGCTAGTTGCACTTTTGAGGGTCCCAAACCGAGCTGCATCTTGTTGCGAAAGCTCTGCAATTGTCCTGGTCATCTTCAGTTTCCAATGATGGATATCGTTGAGATCTAGGTATCCTACGTTGGAATTTGGACTGATGATCGATCTATAATGCCCAAACTTGGTGCAAGGGGATAATTGAATGCAGTGATCACTAATAAAATGATCGTTAGCAAAGTTATCAATTTGAATGTTGATTTTTGATTATTTTGAGGAAGATTGCCAAAACTTGGTGCAGAGGATAAGCAAATGCGGTGATCACTAATAAAATGACCGTTATCAAAGTTTTTGATGATTCTCGGCTTTTGGCTTTTTGGTAGAATTGTCATTTGGTGCAGGGGCGTAACAGAATGCGATGATGACTACTAAAAAAATTTTGTCTAAATCAGCAATTCTATCCATTTTTGAATTTTTTGTTTGAGCGGTTTCATTGACTTCAGCGAAGGGATTGAATTTAGTGATAACGAGTACAATAGCCGTTTTTGTATTTCTTGGCGAGGGCGCCCGAAGGGCAGGAGAAGTACGTTTTCCTTAGATTGGAATGTGCAAAGGGATCATCGTCGTACAATTCTCACTATCATGCAAACTAACACGTGTCTAACATGATTATTACTTGTTCCCTTCCCATTTTTCACTCCACAAAATTAAGAGACAAATTATTTTGATTAAAAACTTTTTCCCGATTTTTTGAAGCGTCCGTCTGCTGACTTGATCGGATTGAAAACTTTTTTATTGATCTGCGGAATAAACGAACATAGACAAACATGAGCAAACATGGAAATCCAAATACGTAACACGAGTGCAGGCAGACGCTCTGCTTCCTTTACGAGGCATTGCCAAATTGTGACTGGCATCAAGTTTGCTAGTCCTACATCTCAGTGGAATATCTTATTAAAGCTTATCTAACAAAATTCCTCTCAGTCATAAAAAAATATTGAGTGTTATTAATGTATATGTGTTGCAAGTAATAACCGTTCCTGCTTATATAAACCCACACAATATTCAGCAAAAGGACTGGGTTTGCATGTAACCCACTAAGGGCTTTGCACCATGCTTGGGTTCGCCAGCGCTCACTGAATTCCGGACCACGAGAACTGGGTAACTTGTACTGCTGCAGCCTCTCTTATAGTCTGATTTGCATCCAGATCACCGTGCCGTTTTTGAAGTGTTTTTGTGTTGCGAGAAGATTGACAGGTTTGAGATGGTGTGAGTGCTCTGTCGACAGAATAAAATTCATCGAATGGGGTTGGAGCATATTTGTAAAGCTGAAACTCTGTCAAGCATAGTATACGAAAAGAACATTGACGAAAGAAGAACGAAAACCGAGTTAATGCGCTGCTCCTATATAAAGCCGCTTGGCTGAGAAAGCGAAGAGCATAGAGGTCCTGCAGCGACCTTCGCGCAGCGTCTCTGTTCTATCCCAATCTCTCCCATTGGCGCAGCAGAAACTCGCGCTTCGGCTTTACCTCTTACTTTATTACTATGAACTTGTGCATTGCAAAGGACTAAGTTTTGTTGAGCAATGGATCACATAAGAATTGAAAATTTTTGACTTTATCTGAGGCAAGCTCAAGTTCAATTTGTTTCAATTTTAAATACACCCTGAATACTAACTGGTGGAATCAGTAGTTAGAATGAGAAATGACATTTTTTTCACCTATGTAAATGCTTTTGAAACAATCTCAAGCATTGAAAACAATTATTCTCTTACAATAATGATCTGTTCTGCTTCTGACCTTACTATCAAAGTCGAAGTCAAGCAAATAAAGTAAGTCACTATCAATTGTCATCCACTTTGCACCTTCAAATTCATGAAAATTATCTTTGGAATCGACTACATACAACATTCAATCTATTTTCATTCTTAAGATTGGACAGCTTCTACACATCACTTATTCCAGCTTTAATTCCTTATTTCATCATCATTTCTCACACAGCTATCATATAGATAGTTTCATATCTATTCAACTATTCTCACTGTCAAATTGACAACATCACACTCTTCCTTTTTCGACCAATCGGGTCGCGCTGTCGAATTGACAGCTTCATACTTCATATTCTTCCTTTTCGACCAACTGGGTCGCGCTGTCAAATTGACAGCTTCATATTCTTCCTTTTCGACCAACTGGGTCGCACTGTCGAATAGACAATTTCATCTTCCTCCTTTTCGACCAATCGAGTCATACTATCAACGGACAGTATTCATATGATTCTTCTGTAATTATTCAACAACTTTATTTGATAATAAACTTATCCACTTTTAATCTTCTTAAAAAGATAAAGCAACTGCAGCTATTTTTATCTTATAATAACACATTATCAAAATTTCACTTAGATTGTTTATCTTACAACATACCATAAAATTCAATCAATAATTTTTTGTTAATTTCTATATTAATTTTATTTGTTATTTATTATATTCTCCATTAATTATTACACTTAGTCTTCAAACATATTTTATAATAATTATCTAAACTAATTCAAAATATCTATTTTTATCAATATACAACTTTCACAATAAAGTTAATTATATCTTATATTATATTATTTTTAATATCAATAACATAGGTAAGTTTATTTTATTTTATATCGTAAGGTTATAGTTTACTATAAATTCGTAGACATTCTTTGAGAAGAGGGCCATACCTCTTGTTTTTTAAAAATAGGGGGACTCTACGATGGGTAATACCAGCGGTTGACGGTGGGACGTGGGGGATACCCCTCCTGCGACTCCGTAGGTCCCGTTTATTCAAAAGCAAACTGAGATTCAAAAAAATTCTTTAAACACTAATAGGGTCTGTCATGAACCCTGGCAGCAGCCCTGCCGAATCATTATCTCCCAAACTCTCCAGGGTAAGGACCTGCCGACTGGAGAGTTAGTCAAGTGGTCTAAAAAAACTGTGTCTTGCGATGATGATAATTATTTTATGTCTACACAATTTCATAAAAGTAGGATAAACAATAAATACACATTAGATAATTTCGGAAATAATCATATGA